CAGGTTGAAGGGAATACACTAAGTACAAAGAAATTAAATATAAGACATGTTTTCACCAATAGCAAAACACAAATCATGAGTATAGTAAAGCAACTAATTAAAGAACTTCAGCTCTTGAGACTTTACACACACCACTCCCAAACACCCTAGGAGCATGTGTCAGGATAGGATCATGTCATCCCGAGCTAATGTGGCAGGAAAGTTGAGAGGTGTGTCCTTTCCTCTCAGCAATCCCCCAATTTCAGAGAGTGCAGTAAAATAGCAACAGGGATTCAGCATGAAATGTAGTGTCTCATAGACTTGTCTTAAAACTTTGCCCCTGCCACCTACTGCTCAATGTCCTCATCTGTCAATAAACAGGACTGTTCTGAGGACTGACTGAGAACGCAGCAAGAAGAGAAACTGCCAAATAGCTTAATCCTGTGTGCTTTGCAAGTCATTCTTTTTGGTTATTATTGTTCAAAAAAATCTTCCTTCCAGCTTCACGGACATGGCTGGATGTGGGAAGGGCTTTTGGTGTCAGAGACTTGGTCCCTAGAGTGGCACTATGGAGAAGTAACAGGAGCTTTGGGACATGGGCTCTAGTAGGAGCTCCTTGGGTCACTGGGGACATGTCTGAAATATAGTTCTCAAGTGTCCCCTTGGGTCCTTGTGAGAGGATTTTTTAAAAAGCCTTGGTTTTCATCCACTCACTCTCCCTGCTTTCTTGCTTACTATGTGGCTTTTCCTCCTCACATTTTGGAGTTCTAAGGGATCAACAAGCCTCTTTCCTTCCTAAGTAACTTGTCTCAGGTATTTCCTTGTAGTAACTAGAGGCTGAATGATACAATCATGTAGAAATAATCATCTACATTTGACATTTGAAAAAAACTGATCCTCAAATAAGATTATACCCAAGATCCAAATACAAGGTCAGCTGTTGTCAAGCTACCTTACCATCACCAATGCCCTGAGACATTGTACAGAGTTTGTCCAGAATTTCTGTCCACATGTCCATGTTTCTTGATGTTGACCCTAGGAAGGTGTCCCTGACTCCCTCTGTTCCAAGAAAAGGAAAACTGTCAAACTGCCAGCCTGGAGTCTCCTCACAACTCTGCCACTAATAGTACATTTTACACTCTTTGTTTTGGTACCTGAACTTGCTTCTAGAGACTCATTGTCACATTCTCTTTAATTTGTAATGGAGTGAGCTAGAATGGAGCTAGAGGAAGTACATGTTATTATATCACTTACCTGAACAAGTTGAAGATACAACAGTGTTGATCCTCTGTCAAAGAGCAGAGATATGGGAAGAGACAACGTGCTGAGCTCAATCTGCCCAGGGGACACTTCTGGAGCCCCAAGTATGTTTCAACTCCTGCATTTAGTCCCTATTCCCTATCAAATGCTGTTCCCACCCCTCATATAAATCCATACATCATAAACTTTCCCACCATTACTGTGTGGAAGAGAGCAGACTTGTCCTGTTAAACAAGCTCATGCAGCCTTGAGCCAGGTGAAATGGTGTATTCATGGGTCTCTTCTCACATCCTACCACTCAGGGGGCATGCTCTCTAACCGTTAATAAGGTCCCATCGACTTAGAGGGTCAGTGATAAGTTTGAAACCTAGGAGAACCCCCTTAATGATGCCAGAAATATAACCTTTTATCCAAAAGCAGTAGAACATTTCCAACTGGAGTTAACCTAGCAGAGGCTGGCATGTGATATATAAGCCGTGCTATCATTTTTCTACAGAGCTTTCTTTAAAAAAAAAATTGAAAAAAAATCATTTGGGATCCAATATAAGCTGTCTTTGCCTCTGGCTGTCAAGCAATGACTTGAACAAAATTAATTGGCTCACTCAAAAAGGAAAAAAATAAAAAGCACTTAATGTAACACCCAAGTTCCCCCAGCCTCCAAACTTGGAAACTGAATTATTCACACACACACACACACACACACACACACACTAAAACAAAATCGTGTTACCCTGAAATCCTATGCCTTTCCCCTAAATCTAAGGTCAATAAGCATATTTTTCTAAGGGCCAGATAGTAAACAAGTTAGAAGGCCATGGCAACTCTTTCCAGATCATTCCCATGAGCCACTGTAATACAAAAGCAGTCATATACAAAACACAAGCCAGTGGACCTGGCTCATTTCCAATAAAACCTTATTTATGGGCACTGTATTTGAATTTTATTTAGCTTTCTATGTTACAAACAGTTTCTTTTGATTTTCCACCAATATTTTTAAAAGTAAAAGTTATTCTTTGGTTGTAAACTTTATAAAAACAAGCAAAGTTTGACAAAATAATGACTTGGCTCTCATCTGCAAATGGCCACCTCTTAGTCCAAGCAAGCACTTAGAGCACTCCCAAGTAGAAGTCTCCACTAGCTCAAGCACCAATTCAGCCAGGTCCCTGGCCTAGCTCCTATCCTAGGACGTGATTCTGGGGTGCACTTTTTCAGAGTGGCTGACCTCATTTCAAAGAAAGTCTGTCAGACTTGATTTCAGGGTTAGATGCTCATCTGTCACTTACAAAAGGCCATTCTCATCCCCTCCCTATCCCAAATTACCAACCACATACTCTTCATTCATATAAGTAAATACATTCTGCAAGTTGATGCCATTGAACTCTTCAACTCAAATAGTAGGAAAGCGTTTCATCTCAACCTCAGCTTCCATCTGTGACTTCCTCTGCTTGAAAACAGGAATCAGAAGGCTATTAAATTTATATTCAAATATAATAGAGATCAGAGAATGTTTATGTTATCTATCAAAGATGTAAGATTCCTCGCTGATAGTTTCAGCCATTCATCTTTGGAAAGTAACAGTAAATAAAGTCATGAATAAATGCAGGAACAACGGCGATGTAATATAGGAAGAAAGCTTCTGACTCTGAGACCTTCTCATCACAATGTCATCATTAAACAGCATTGTGCATTAAGTGTCAGTCCTCCTTTTTGCACCCTCCAACTGCTGAAGCAGGGAAATGCTTACTTGACAGATCACAAATTCAAAGAAGCAATTGTATCTCTCTCAATAAAGCTCCCAAAAGGTTCCCAGCTTCTTGGATGAGAAGTACCAGCCTAATAACATCACACATGAGAACAAAAAATCCACTGCACACTTTGGTTCTAAAATATTCCCTATGTTACAAATTCACAACTTCCAAAGAATTATTCCAAGGCAGTGGAAATGGGCAGAAGATTATTTTGGGGAACAATCTGTGGCTTTAGGGGAAAATCAGATCTGATCAGGACAATCTATTCTCTCTTAGGGAAGGGTGGATTTAGATTTACACATTCAAAACTGTAGGCTGGCTGCTCCTATTCTGGCTGTGATGGGGATTGAGAGAAATAGTTACCACAGTGTTAAGCACTGCCCATCCCTAAAAAACCCACCTGCACACAAAGCTTGGCCATATCTGGCCAACGATGAAGGCATTCATTCTCAAAACTGGAGAGCTCCAATCACAAAGCCAAACTTCACAAAGTATTACATGATTTGATCTATTGTATTTTCTTACCAAAAAAGATCCTGTTTCTGCATATGCTAAGAAAACTTAATTTTATAATAGAGAATCCAGAAATCACCAGAAATTTATCATTAGAGAAAAGGAATAGTATGATCTCTATTTTCTGCAAAACAAGTCTATTTTTAAAAGTTTCTTTGCCTCCTAAAATGTCAAAGTAATTTAACCACCTATTCAGGTTAATCTGGAATTGATAGGATTCCTGGATACATGATTTAGAGCTTTGATACCAGTGCAGATTTCCCAGGCAAAATTATGAACATTTCCTCACCTTAGAAAGTTTGTTATAGCCCATAATTTGTTTTTATCTTAAATGCAAGAAATCAGTCAAAACAGCTTTCATAAGGAAGGACCCAAGCCGCAGCTAAATAAAACAATGATTCCTAGTGGTCTTATCGAACAGGATTACTCTGCAACTCAAGAAATACTGCAGACCACCTTTGGGCTATTAAGGAAAATTATTCATTCATTTGAGCCGTTTTAACTAATCTACCCTGGTAGAACCTAAATGAATGATCAAATGTCAAGGAAAGAAAGCCAGAAACTGGGATTAACCACTATAAACCACAACCTTCAAACTGTCAAAAGTATTCCTAAGCCCCAAAGATTGTTGAATGCAACCAAAAAAAAAAAAAAAACAAGCTTCACGTGCTAAGTCTGTTAGTACCCTGCCTGAGTGTCACAAACCCTCCCAGGAAGGAAAGACATGTGACTCTTGAAATGCAAAATAAATGCAAGGAAACATAGATGCCCCCTTTCCCTAGTAATGGGCAGCCCCCACCCTCTCTAGAGAGCTTTGTACATTGATCCTTAATTTTCAGGAGAAGAATAACAGTTAACTATGTTCATCTGATACTCAATCTTAAAAGTTCAGGATGTTGGATAAAGATTCAGGCCAATCACCTGCCCCTTCTCTTTCTCCAGTTCCAGTTCTGATGTTCATCAGTGGTTTCCACGTGATGATCTCTCAGCTTTGTAACAGTCTTAGTTTCTGTAAAGACGGGCTTTCTTGGTCTGGGGCATGATTCATCTAAGAAAGATTTACAGTACTGATGATTGAAACCAAGAGGAGATTGTAACAGTTTTTCACTGTTTTGATTGATCTTTTTTTAAAACATGCCACTGCTGACTACGAGAACCAATGCAAATATCAAATTGAAAGAAAAAGCTCTTAAAATTTTGTTACAACTTAGTTGACCCAACCAATTATTTGCAATTTAAAAAAAAAGCAAAAAACAAAAAGCCTCTCTAGCATTGTAATTCAAGTAGCTATTTTTTAGGTGAGTAGAAGATAAAATAAATAAAACATTACACTAGACTTGCATCCGAGACATTTCTTCTGCAGACCCTGATTATTCCAGCAAGAAAATCATTAATTCAGATGAAATGTTAAGTAAGATAAATAATCCCCCAAATTTTGGAATTAAAAATGGCAAAAACAAAGAAACAAGCAAAAGAAACCTAAAAGATACGGCTTCCTACCTTCTTTTTGGAGTGGCTTCGTTCTTCTTCCTTGGTGGTTTTGCTATTTTTCCCAGCTCTGGACACTTTCTGGTCCCCAGACTGTTTAATGGTGATCTTAATCTCAGGTGGGCATATATAGTTCTCCAAGTTCTTTGGGGGTTTCTTAGCCCGCTTTGTCGTCTGAATCTTCAGCTTCAGACTCCCCTCAGTGAAGTTTGCTTCCTTGATGGAAAACTCCTGTTCTTCCAGGCCGTCTCCTGCCACCCATTTCTCACTGTCTGCATTGGAGTTAGAATCCACATCCCGCCCTGAGCCCAGTTCATCCTCCTCTTCTGGCTCCATTCGTTCTCCACCCACTGGGATTCCCTTTCCGGGTCCTGCAGTGGAAAGCAAAGTGTCTCCTGCACAGCCAGGAGCTACCGGGACCTTACTGGAGGAGCCGGGCAGGAAATCCGACTCGCTCCCTCTTTGCCGGGAGCTGCTTAGTATTTCCCTGGACTCCATGATAATCCTACAATTTCCAGGAGTTCTCAGGAGAGGCAAAGGAAAAAAAAATGTGAGACGAAAGGATGCCCAAAATTCCAAGAATCGAGTGTTCTGACGACGGGGTTCAGAGTCCCAGGGATGGAGACACGGTGAGGTGTTCAGAAGAAATCAGATCTGCAACTGAGAAGCAGAGAGTGTGTTAGTTTCTTCAGGAAGGAAAAGAACTCCAAAGTTGCTCAATCTAAATCCAAGAAGCCCTTTTTGACTTATCCACAGCATCAGAAAAAGGGAAGCCCAAGAATATGCACACCACATCTCCGCATTGGATGTCACTGGAGTAGGGGGGAAACGTGACACCCACATGCCTTCGTAATGGGCTGTTATTCATTTTTACAGCTGTGGGCTCAAAATAAAGATAAGAGGAGTGAGTTCTCCAGTCCAGAAACAAGCTAGAGGTTTCTTACTGCAAAGCCACAGCTGGCTGAGTCACCACCAAAACCAACCATGACGAAAGGGAAGTCTGAAGTGTCGGTGCTCCACTCTGTGGGAACTGCATTTGGTTGGCTTGCACCACTTTGCCTCGCCCCTGTGAAGAGCGCTTTGCAGAGCTAAACACAGCCTTGACTTCAGCCAAGCTCTCCATTCTCTCAGGGGCAGGGTATTTAGCTGACCACTGGGCTTTATTATTTTCCATCAGATTATTTCAGTTTTACAAAGAAAGTATTCCCTCTATTTCCACATTTAAAAAAAAAATCAGAGCTTAGGAGTGAGTCTTGAAAAATGCAAAATACACACACACACACACAGTTCAAGAAAAAAATCACAACACTGTGATTTAAACAGATTCGAAAAATGTTTCCATTGACAAAAAGGCTAGTTAATCCTTTTCAATTATCTAGGTGAAAATTGCTATTCTCAACTGTTCTAATTCCCTTACTGGGTCCTTCAATGAAGTCGGACTACGGCCACACAGAAGCAAGCAAAAGAGAAAGATGGAGAGAAAAGGAGCATTTTATAGGCTTTGCAAGGGCCAGGACTTCTCACAGAATCTTGGTTTCTGCTTTCCTCCAAGTGAGAACACAGTAACCAGCCAAGCACTCTCTCAGCCACTGTGGGATCAGCTAACCCATCCTCCACCCTTAGTTGCTGTCTCCTGTTAGTCTCAATTTCATATTCATAATTTTCAAAGAGCAAAGGAAATACAATGCTCATTCTTGACAAAACACCTACAAACCCAAGACTGCACAAAACCTCAAAACATCAGACTCTTGTGCCTCAGGCTGTGGGTTAACTCACACTCACACCTTCCCAGCTGGTGGGGGCTTTCACGCAGTTTCCCAGCAGAACACATCCCTGTACAGATGAGCTCCCTGCCCCCAGGACCGCCAGCTCAAAGAGTTGGACAGAAAATATACCCAGTTAGAAAACACCCAGTGATGCCTGAATAGGCACACTGAAGATGTTCAGGAAGTAGAAACCAGGAGATGGGGTGTGTGTCTGCTCCCTGTAGAATCAGCACCTTTGCAGTTGGCGCCAGCAAGGCACCCGGGACCTCACCATGGATTCCACTCCCCAGAGAAGCCTTGGAGCTGAACTAGCTCCTGGAAACTGCTCATTTCTGCAGAAAGATACACTTGCAAATGCTTCCACTCAGGGATAAATCCAATTAGTATTGCTTTTCTGGAAGAAAAGAGGCCACGTCCATAAGAATCTGAGCATCCTTGTAGAAGCTGCTGAATAAACACTGAATACCCTCTGTGACCCAAGCTACCCTGGAGACAAGGTCTCCACCTGGGAGCTAAACTGAGCAGTTAGGTGCTTCTCTCTCTCTCTCTCTCTCTCTGTGTGTGTGTGTGTGTGTGTCTTTATCTTCTCTCTAACTCTACATTTCAAATAAATAAAAATATTAAAAAGTAAATTTCTTAAACTAAATCCTTCTGGATCTCTGGACTGCACTAGACAAAGCATGGCAGATCCGGTGTTGAAATCAAAGAGATAAGTCCTCAACAGATAAACAGATGAAGGTTGTAGTCCATGTATTACTGACATAAAAGTGTCTTCATCTATAAGCTGTCATTTTGGGATTTCTTAAACTGTAGAAACCAGTAACAAATTACATGCAGAAGACTAAGTTCCAAAGCTTAAAACTCAAATATTAAGACAGTCACAGAAAAAAAAAAAAAAAGAGAGAGGGAAAAAAAAAGAAAAATTCTCCACCTGTTGCCTTGGGAACACTTATTTATTGTGGAGCTTGGTGGAAACAAATTCTCCACGTCCACTGACTGACCACGGCTCCACTGCAAGTGAGTGGAAACAGACACTATCACAGCTGCACTTTCCAAAGATAACTGTGGTGAGTGGTATGAGGGCTGGATGAAGGCACAGAGTGACAGAGACAAGGGAACCTCATGGCAAGTGACTCCTACTGAAATTTGACTCTTGCTGTTGAGGACCTGAAACAAGGCAATGCCGGTGTTCATAATTACTGTTGATAAAACAGAATCACAGTTTCGTTCATGCTTAGGACCTTGTCCATCCCAGACTTTTCAGGTTGTTCTTGCTTTAAGATCCCAAGCTCAGGGTTCATTGGTCATCAGCTTGAAATGCCTACTCAAATAAAAGCTGCCCCCTCCAGGGTATTCCATGCAGAGAGTTCTTTCCACACTGGTAGTTTTTTAGAGAATCTATTCTATCTTCTCCTCCTGGTCAGTGCATACAATTGATGTTTTCCAAATGCTTGTGGCATGAAGGAATGAATGAACAAATCAGCAAACAGATTCCAAGCCCTCCCGTATTTCCAAGGCCATGCTCAAGTCTTAACTTCCCTATGACAATATTTTGTAAACTCTGCACCACTACACTCCCTCCCTGCTTGACTGACATTGCATCCAGCTGTATCATTGGCCACTAAACACCAGTGCTGCATTGTCTTCTAGTTGTTTTGAGTACACAGATCTTATTTTCCTAAGTCAACTGCAAGGCTGTGCTGGACTGCGAACAACTGTGGTTGTACAATATTTACACCTGCCTCAGCATCCACATTAAGGGTAAGCAATCAAAGTATAACATGAAGCTCTTGCTGAATGAGGAATTCACTTCTCACAGCTATAGTCAAAACCCATAGTTCAAAACACTTCAACAGCAGCCCCTGGCCCAATCAGGTGCCTATCCTACAGGTGATAACCAGGCCCTCGTGTGCATATGTATCCCTCACCTTAGAAAAACAAAACAGAAAATTCTTTCAAAAGCAAAGAGCAAAGAAACCTAACCTGCCTGTTTACTTTGCCAACACACATAGCTGTTGTTCTTTAGTTTCTCTCCTAGCACATACCTGTCACCCCAGATTCACACAACAGTTTTTTGGTGACTTTGGGAAACAACCATGAAGCCGCTTATGATGCATCGCTATCAACACACATGTGAGTTCAGGCACACATTTACACAGAGTTGGGAGCTGGGGCAGGGTGAAAAAAACGTGTTTCTGTGTCACATTCCAGCAGGGACTCCTCTGAGGGAGGAGGGAGCACAATGGACACCCTTGTACTTGGTTCAGGGCTCTGGTCTAACAAAAATTAACCCTTGCATGGCAATCTGCAGGAACTCAGGTGGGAGGCAAGGGCAGTTAGAAAACAAGTTGTTTAGGAAATGACTGCCCAGAAGGCCCCAAGGAAGCAGAGAGGTGAGGCAAGGGCAGCAACGGCCTTGGAAAGAACACTGAGGTGGGAATGCAGACTGTCACTGTGGTGCACAGCTGTGAGATGCTAGGCAAGCCACTCTGATCTCTTATGCCAGGGGCTCTGCCAGGCTCAACACCGGAATGGGACTTTGTCTATACCAAGAAGCATTTTAGAGTAACCTGAATCTACAGCATCACTTCTCTGGGAATACTCTTGACTACATTGCCTCATACCCAAAAAAGTCCCAAAGAATAGATAGGAAGAATTTTCCTAACCTGAAGTAAATTATCAGGGCTGGCATTGTGGCACAATGGATTAAGTTACTATTTGGGACACCAGTATTCCATATCAGAGAGCAAATCTGAATCCTGGCTACTGTGTTTCCAATCCAGCTCCTTGCTAATGCAACTGGAAAGGCAACAGGTAACAGCCCAGTGCCACCTATATAGGAAACCTGGATGGAGACCCTGCTTCCTGCCTTTATTCTGGCCCAGTCTGGCCTGTTACAGCCTTTTGGGGTTGTGAACCAGTGGATTGAACACTCATACACTCATATTCTCTCTCTCATTTTCTCTCATAAATAAATCTTCAAAATAAATTTCCTCTCTGCTGCCTCCTTAGTGCTTGATGTACATACAACTTCTTGAGGTCACTTACTCAACAGGGATCCAGGATGCAAGGCCAATTACTTCGGCTTTTTCCCAAGTGCTCCAGATATTTCTGGCAGCCACAGCCTAAGAACCAGCACTTTGGGTTTGCCTGGCAGGCCTAGGTATTTACCCCTCCAGGGCCTTTACCACAGACTTCTAGAATCCTGACCTTCAAGGCCCTTCTCCAGGAGTCTCTTGGGGGCAGGCATCAATTGCATCTCATCCATCTCTCTAATCCTAACACCCAACACATTCCCAACACACAGAAATGTCGTTGACTGGATTAATAAATGAACAGACCAACTCAAGTTGGTTTTGCAGCATTGGCTATCTCCCCATCAACTTGGTTCTCAAGGCACCATGTGCAGGCAGGCCACTGGTGCTTCTTGATATCTTCAGTGTGAGTCAAAAAACATGAATCCAGGGCCTCAATCTGCTACACACAAGTCCTCAAAGCTCTTTTTGGGCCTCAGTATCTCATCAGCAGAACAGTGTAAATGAGGTCTTCCTTATCTACTTCACTAGGTTATGCTTACTGCTTTTATATTAATTCTGGGTTTTTGCTAACAGTTTCTGTTTCTTGTTAAAAAAAAATACGTATGCAGATAAAGATGGGAAAAGGCTGAGCTGCAGGTCATAAGATACAGCTGGACAGAGAGAGCATGGGGTGGAGATGATCTGGGTAACATTGTGTTTGGGGGAAAGCTAGAAGATTTTTAATGTTTTCATAAAGGGATTACAAATGTTTCAGGGAACAGATACATGTCACCTGGTTTGGGGGACTGCAAAATGCATTCATCTACCATGACATCATGTGACATCCCACTAGTACATAAAAGTTGTATATATTTGT